AAGGGTGTATTAGTTCGGGACGGGAAAAGCTCGGATCATATCATTAACACGGGTTTCTCTTCAATGAAGGCTTGTGGCATAGTCATGGTTCTCCTTTTCTAGATGACGAAGTGAAAGCACGTTCTGATAATGGACGAGGTTGATGGAATGAGTGGAACTGAGGACCGTGCAGGGGTTGGTCGTGTTTGAGATCCTTTTCCGCACTGCTTTCAATGTTTTTATTCTTTTGTTCGTTATTCTTTTGATTTAAGATTGCTGAATTGATACAAATCATCAAGGAATCAAAAATTCCTATAATTTGTATTTGTAACGATCGGCAGCATCCGAAGATAAGGAGTCTTGCGAATTATTGCTTCGATGTACGCTTCCAAAAACCGCGTGTGGAACAGATCAGGGTAATTTTTGATTTCCCGACTTTAGTTTCATCATTTTATGTGCAAGTAGTGCAACATTGTATAAAGGCCAGTCTCTGTTTAATGATAAGGAAGCTGAACGAATAATTCGCTCATGAGTAGAACTTCAGAGCTGCATTTCACCATACTCGTTTAGGCTAGAATGATGTCCATCGCATGTCAGGAAAAGTTGAAAATCTCAAAGGAAGAACTGGATCAGATGATTGAATTGTCAGGTAATTATTTAGGATCATTAGGTTGCGCGGGTCCATTGTAATTATTCAGTGGAGAGGATTTGCTGTAAACTAGAATCAAACGGTGATTACTTGAGTTTAGTTGGGGGGGGGGGGAGGAGTTTGAGAAGAGAGTAATTAGGATGGTAGTTCCGTCCTATTTACTCTTTTTTTCGGGAGGGGGGTTGCAAGCACAGGGTTCGAAGATCAACAGTGGTCCAATAGGACTGGTAAGGAGAGGAGTGAGGAAGGCAATATTTGAAAAAAATCTTGGTCATCCTATCCGGGCACGACACGTTCTCCGCGTGACATAAACGCTTTTTGGCACCTCAAGGTACGATATCTTCTTGAGCAGTCGATATTGCTCGAAAAGGGATATCCTTCCAGTCTCGCTCAGAAAAAATGTGCTTATTCTGAATCTTAGGTCATGAATTTCCTGCCCTAAATAGGTGTCTGATCAAAGATCCGATTTCAGGTCACGATGTTAGACAATCAATCTACAACTTGCAGTTGTACTCATCATCTGGTGGAAAAACTAAGGTGCAAAAGAAGGACGTTGCAGTTGTAAGCTCTTGAGTATGATGTAGAGTGTTGTGCAGTGTTCGTAGAGAACCTATGGCGCATTTATTTTAGGGAATATAGGAAGCGTTTTTTTGTGTATCCCAGTTATGATGATATTAGTTTAGGGACCATTCGAAGCAGCGCGGAAGCTTTTGGATTCACGTTCGACACTTCAAGAAAAACAGGACATGTTCTTCGTTGACTACGGCATCATGCCGTTGTTTGTTCAAGAAAACTATCCAAACATGCGAAATGACAAAGCACACGTAAGCTTTCAAATCTTATTGTTGGCCAGTTTTAGTCAGCTGAGGACAGTGTCAAGCTATGACAAACTAGGAAGACTGTCATGACTCTTACTCTCTCAGCTAAAACCGCGGTCATGCTCTGCGACTGGCCGATGTCAGACTTTGCGATTGGAGCGATTTTGCACCAATTGCAGGAGCGACGG